GATTTTGTATAAAAGATGACACAAATAAAAACAAATTTTATGGAAGAATAAAAGTTGTTATTTTTGAAAATACAAGAGAAAAAATTGTTCCAAGATATTTTTTTACATAAATTATCCCAAGGATACCAAATCGTAAAACAAAACTTATTTCAAAGAATGACTTTTTAATACTTTTATGTTGTTTCTAAAAAAAAAAAAAAGTGAAGAAAACTATCAAGTGTGAAAAAAACTGCGAGACCGCTAGAAAATTTTAATCACAGAAGGTGAGTGAAGAGGAAGCAATGCAACGTGACCCGAGGGAGTCGAAACAAACTCTCGAACGCAGAATATACACGCGCGGCTGGAGTCCTGACAAAACAAAACTTGATTGGGTAGAGTTAGCCTTGTATGCACCTCGGTGTGTTGCGGTACAATCAGAGTATGGTACGAACAAGGCGACATCAAAGAGCCAACTCTTGACTCGTTTTCAGTACCTTTTCCATGCCGTTTCATTCACATTTGCACACACGCCTCAAACGACAGTCCAGACATGTTCAAAAAGCCATCCCAATTGCGGTCCTTGGAGCTTAGATGGGTCTAACTTTAAATCCTCAAAGAACACACGGAAATCATTTATGAATTTTAATTCATACTTATCGTTATAAAATGTCATTAGAAATAATCTCTAATGTCCACAAAGTGAATATGGAAAATGTTTTTCATTCATTTCTGACAATAATAATAAATTGATGTTACATCCGGAAAATTCAATTCTTGTATCCAAGAGAAAAATACGAAATAATCAAATTGTGAGAAATCTATTTAAATCTAAAGGAATTATTTCTTTTGGAAGATTCTAATCTTAAAATCATGGCAAATATTTGTAACAATCATTGAGTATCAAAATATTAAAGATTGTAAATTTTCAAATATATCATAAAGTTTTCAGAACAAAAAACTATATGTGGAACATCAACGAAATTTACAAATATTCGCCTAGAAATGGGCCTGGCGCCAGATAGCTTAAAAACCCATTAAGACTATTAAACAATGTATGATTATAAATAATTAATACTTTTAAACAATTTTGACTATTATTGAAAAATTAGGTTATATTATTTTAAATTGATTAAAAATTAATAATAATTAATGCAAATTATAAACAAATCAACCTTAAAAATTGTAACTTCGACAATAATTAATCTATTTTTCAAAATTCAAAAAAATTTAAGCAAAATATCCACTTTTCATCAATTTTCCCTCAACATTACTAACTCAAAAATTGTAGTAGGGAAAAACCCTTAAAAACCTATGTTTCTGTAAAATCTCCCGTTAATCAAGTTATTCAAGTTACTCAGTCATTCCTTCAATCTTCAAACTAAAAATTTCAAAATGTCTCAAGTCAAAAACTATTAAATTTTCTAAATTCTAATTTCATTGCTTCTATTGTGTTATTCCTTATTTTTTATATTTTCTAAATTCAATTGAAAGAAATAATCAAATCGTTTCCGAGATATTGGATGAGAATCCAGGCTCAAAAATGTATAATTAAATTTTAATAATGATAATAATAATTGGAAGTTTCAATAATTTTCAATTGTTCTTATTTGTTATAAAATTTTTTTAATTATTTATGTTACATTACGTAACACAGGCGGTTATTCATCAAATGAATATTTTTATTCTTAATTGCTTCCAATTTTATAAATACCTTTCTTTCCTAAATCCGTTAAGTTTATAATTGTCTTAGTTAACAAATTTTATTCTTCGAAAAATTTGTAATTCCTTATTTTATTTTCATATTCAATTAAATTCCAATTAAAACCATTCCATTCTTATAAAACAACTAACAATAAATTATCACTATAAACTTTATCAAAAACAGTGAAATTCTTATTTTAAAAAAACAGCAATTTCCTTTGTTGTATTTCTTTCCACTATAGTAAATAATTATTTAAATAAATCAAAGCAGGAGCGACAAAATTGGAGTCATCATAAATTAACAAAATTACTCCAACGATAAATTCTCGATTCCTACTTTGTTGCCCAAATTGCAAATTTTGATGCGAAAAAAGTTATTTGAACGATTTGAAAGCGAAATCTGACAAAGCAATTATTTTTAAATAACAATTGAATTATTTAGTTAAAATTTAAAATGGCAAAATTTGTCGCTTGAATAATTCAGTCTATTTATGATGATTTCGATTTTATCAATTACAATTAAAATTATTTAAATATTAATTTCAAATAATTAATGTTAAAACCTAGTAAAGTAAATGATGTTTTATTAACAATATTTTGTAAAAATATTCTAATATTTAATGAAACCGTATAAAATCAATGGCAATTGATATTTACCCAATGTAAAGATAGATAACTAATAAAAATTTCGATAAAAGGTAAGGTAATCAATAAACAATAAAAAAAACTGAAACGAACAATAAAAAATAAAAATGATCATATTTTCAGTTCATTTATATATATATGGTCGTAAAGTTTTGGCAATTTTGGATGACTCAATAATAAGATCGGTTGACCGATCAGACTTGCCATTTCGTTCGGCAGAAAGTACATTTCGCTAAATCACGTTTGGAGAATGCGGTTAAGCGCAACGTTCGACAACGAGTAGCCATAAATTGTGTACAATCACTAATAGTGTGGGTGCTACGAACTAAACCACATTTTCGTGGAAACGAAAATTCCCAATGTCTGGGTAAGTCCAATTGTATTATGTCAAATGTTCGATCAAGTAATTATTTCATGAGAAATACCACAATTTTTCTGTTCACTGGTATGAAACATAAAATTTCTTATTTAAAAGAATCTATAAAATTCTACTATAAAATTTTCAAGTCGAATGAACACATAAAGGCGAACTCTATTCATATTGAATCATATATAATATATATCTATATATACCAGTATTTTTATATGAAATTTTTATTTAGAAAAATATCACTGAATTCAAAGACACATTATCCACATAAATGTAGAAATATTTTATTTATATAAATAAAAACAAATCATTTATCAATAATATGACGTAACATTTTAATAATAATTTTAAGAATATTTGTAACTTTGAAAATTCATTTAAAAAGTGAATCTTGGCTCCCTACTCTCAAGATACGCTCATGCAAAATCATCCCTTGCTAAGGCTGGGCCTAAAAGACCCAATGACATCTTTTTTTCGATAAGATTTTCTTGTTTTTCATATATCCAATCATTGATCTTTTCTAATTTCCCACTCTAAAAATATTCATTCATAAACTTGCAATCGTCTTAAAAAACTAAGAAGGGATAGCAATATAAAAACTAAAGACCCTAATGAAAAAGTCAGTAGTTTTTTATTCTTTATACCAAGGGTTCAAGGTTCCAATTTAAACGAGTTTTCAACTCATTCCATCAATTATAAATAAACTGAAAAATTAAGTAATTTTATTGTATATTAATTACATTTCTCCTCTCATCTAAATTATTTTTACTTGTCATACTTCTAGTTCCTAAGGATTAATGTCGTGTTGTAGGATATAACACAACGTTAATTAAATATTCATAAAAAATATGAAAAACATTTTTTGTACAATACAAACAGATTTGACCTGAAAATATTTCCTAATTATTTTAAAGCTTCACAATTTTTTTTCTGCTACGTCAGTATAAAAGAGAGATGTTCTCTCTCGTTAACGTCAAGGTCACGTCGACATTGCAGAATTTTAATGGTGCCTGAAATGAATCTCAAATGTACTTGGGATGCATATAGTGAAATCACAGAACCCAGCGAAAACTAGGTGAGTTTTGTCGAAGCCCCGGAGAATCGAAATGTAACCTATAAAGCGCTGAGCGGTTTCTACGAGAGAGAGAGAGAGAGAGAGAGAGAGAGAGAGAGAGAGAGCGAGAAAGGGGGGGAGAGGGGCAGACAGGAAATTACGTCTCCGGACATCCGCTGGAGCACTCCATAGAACGAACGGTCCTATAGGAGCAGGGGCAACGACGCTCTTGACTTGGCTACGTTAGAGTTCAGAGGTCAAAAGGAAGAACGACTTCCGCGTTTGGAAGCGACATGCTTTCAAAAGAAGCAATACGTAGCGCACGGCAACGCGTTGAATAATACAACAAAAAAAATTGTTCTCACACTCCAAGAAATATCCACTTTTTAAGGAAACAGGGGAGGATTTTTTATATCAAAATTCATGTTAAGGAATCTTATCAAATTTCAAATCTTTTCAAAACTTTTCTTTTATCAAAACATATAAATTTTTTGGCAAGTGTTGAGAAAAGAAAAATAATTCTTTTATATTCTATGTGTATTTTAAATAATTTTTTTAATTATACGGAAATAAAGGATAATCGGATTAATATAGAACTAACAAATATGGTTGTGCTAACGATTTAGCTGATACAGCAAAAATATTTGCTATTGTAGCTAATATTTGCAACATTTGATGAAAAGTATTAGCTTTAATTTTTAAAAAGTCTACTTAAAAAAATTTACATAAAAGTACATATTTTGTGAAAATGTAAATAAAGATATAATCTAAAATTTTTACTAAGAAAATTAATAAAAAAATTTCAAGAAGTTTACTTAAGCATTAACGTTTTAGATCCTTGCGCTGTCGCTTTCAATAGACTCGAGCCTCCTTAAACTTTCTAACAGAAACTTTTTTATGGTTACGTCCAAAGTAAGGATTTAACTATTTTCAGTTACCAAATGGCAATAACGAGTTGATGTAAAAGTTCTTCAATAGATGTTAAAAGCAATTCAATAACGCGGAAAATTAATGGGTCAGATCTAATTCTTATTTTTCAAAGAATTGCCTTTTGTTAAGAGACGAGATATATGTGTTAAGAGAGAACGTAGATGAAAGGATGAAGTTGAATTTGAAGATTTCCTTTTATCTGCGGGGATGGTTTTTGGTAAGGGGGATTTTAAGCAGTACTGCACCAACAATCGAGACATTCAAGGCTCTAAACGCTTCCGGACAAAAGCAAGTACGTCACATCGAAAATGTTCCACTCACCTTGGATTTCCACGAAGTGCGGCGTGGTGCAGAGCGTTGAAGCCATTGTTGTTTGTAAGGGTGATGTCTGCTGCATGGTCCAACAACAGAGCCAGCATGTCATCTCGTTTCTTGGAGATTGCGTCGTGCAGCGGAGTGTCTCCTTCGGAGTCCTGTGGAAATAGAAAAAAAAATTTCTCTTTAAAATGCTTTCTTGCATCTTTCGCGACATTTTCTCTTTAACAATAGAACATGACCGAACAATGAATTTTGACATAAATACAGATTTTTTTCCTCATTTATTACAAAATAAATGGTGTAAGGTAAATCACAGTAACAATTTTTGGTCCTAAAATTCAGATCAAATTATAAAACGTTCTGATAGAATAAGTGTGTCACGTCATAGTGACTTATTTAACAATAAATAAATTATTAGTAGTATTAAAATGTTGAAAAAAACAGAGTCAGTATTATTCGGCAGTTAAAAAGTAAAGTTTAGTAATCAACGCAGTTAAAAACTATATACATCAGATTTAGTTTCATCATTCACTGAAAGATCTCGTCAAAACAAATTTATAAACACGACAGCAAAGAGACTCAAAGGTCGCTGATCATTATCAGAGGATGATAAAACCGAACAAATTGATGCAACTGACAGAAAATATTCAAGGTAAAGAATAATCAAATTCAGTAACTCTTAAGGCCAGGTCAGGAGAAGGGTAGAGGAGAGTAGCGGTAGAGAAGGAATAGGACTAATTACGTTAGAAATAATATGAAAAAGAAGGGCAGTATTAAATTAGACAGTGAGGTAAAAAGGACGACCAGAGGAGCTCTTGAAGGAAGTGGAAGTAAGTTGTCTAAAAAGAGACGGGTTCTCACTAGTGTCAGCAATGTAAATACAATATCATTTTCAATAACTTTAAATAATACGGTACAAGGTCCGTATATTTAAAGTGAAGACGATCGTTGCTTTATTATGATAAGCGATCTAAGCTATATTGATGGCGATAGGATTACTCCTGGTATTGCCACAAATAAAATAATTTTAATTTAAATAATATTGTTTTCAATTTGTTATGTATATACATACGTTTATATAAACTATAAAGTGTATTAATAGTGTATATTAATTATTAAATAAAAAATTAACGATATTCAAAGTATAATTTCCTTTCACTAACCTTCCAGTCACATTTCTACCACTTGCTTTCAAATGTTCCGGTTAATACCAATATTATAAATAATAAATTATTTATTATAAATTAATAGAGTAGAAAAAATTTAAATAAATATTAAAATTAGGACAAAACAAGTGGTTTCAACTTGATCAACATTATTTGGATAATTTTAAGAAATAATACGAAAAGTATAATTTTTTGTTACCTAAAATTCGTACCAAAGTACAACTGTCATGAACGGTATTAAAATTACAAAAAAGTTTAGGACTTGATTTTTTGATTTCACAATTGTTACCTACTTTAGGTATCAAAAAATGACCCTAATTTTCATATAATTTCTAAAAATGATCCAAATACTGCAAATCAAGTCGATACCATTTTTAAATATAAGAATGTTGCAATCGAAATTGATACATTTATAGAAATTGTATACACAATACAAGAAACCATCTGATATTTACTTTAGAGAGAGCTTAAATTCGATATTGTAATTTTTTAAATTAAATCACTTAATCTCACTTCTACATATTTTAAATATTTTTGAGTTATTTAAAAAAACTGAAAAGTTAAAATTACTGCCAACTCTCATATTTTCATGAGAAAGCGGAAATATCGTAAACATGGAACTCATGCATCATGTGGAAGAGACATAACTGTCACAGTACACTGTGGTGTCTCGTAAAGCAAACAGAAAATACGAAAAATGTAAACAGATCTCTACTGTACAAATTTCAATGAAATTGATCATATGCAATTTTAAATTAAAATATTCAATTCTCTTTACATTTAGAACAGCATATTATTTGTCAGATATTCTTTAATTAAAACCATCACTTTAGAACGAATACAATATTTTTCTACGGATATTCAATTTGATTTAAATGAATAAGATTTTTTAAAATTGCTTTTAAACTAGTTTCTCAATTAATCTAAAAATATTTAGACGTTAGTCAACAATCTAAAATTAGTATTCAAATTTCTAATCCGAATCATCATTTTTTTCAGTATTGAATATTTTACATAACTTTCTTAATTCTTCATATTTTTTATGTTAGTTTTGCACTAATTCTTATAATAAAGCTTTAGTATTCTCGACTTTAAAAAAGTGTTTTAAAATTTTCAATAGAAAAAATTTTAGCGATTTATTAGTTTCCATGCAAAGCAATATAAAGCTTTCTATTTTCCTAACCGCAACATTGAATTGACTATTGTCCGTTTTGCTAATCTGATAAAGGATTTATAATCGGTGACCTCAAAAGCTTTTTGAATCCAATTCGTATGGAAATAAGGGAGCTTTTCAATTTTTCTATATATATCTTTGTGGGGTTCTTTCAAATGTGATAAAAAATTATATCGATCAATAACTTTTTAAATCAATTTAAATTTTTAAAAAATGTTTTTTATTTGCATCCTTGAGTTTAAAAAAAAATATTTCGGGGAAAATAACACAAATTCATATAAGAGTCTTTGCTATTGATTAGCGAAATCACTGGTTGGATATTGTTTGTCCCAGTTTTCAGTCAGTTTCTGATAAATAGGAATGCCGAATACCGTCGAATGCAATATTGGTGTTTACCTTTTGCAGTGATATAACCAACCAGCTACTCAATAATTCATTTTCATTAGTTGATTAATTTTGCAAATAGTACGAATTGTCTATTTTTTTCAACGTCTGTTATGTACCGCGCAACCGAATATTGATGCTGTATTTACTAATAGCTTATTGCTCCATATCTATGCTAGACGCTATTTTTCACGAGAAAAGAATTATTTCATATTTGCTGGCATTGCTTTTTGTTCCATTTTCAATTTTCCTTTTATTCATTTCATTTTTTTAAAAAAATTATATTGTGATGTAAAATTTACAAATCGCAAAAAATTATTTATGTTTTCAATATATCACGTCACCGTAACTTTAATATTCATATTATAAGAATTCTTAAATCTATACCGAGTTGCGTTTTTCTTGCGACAAACACCCGTGTTTTTGTTACGCATCTAAATACCTTTCTCTTAAATGTAAAACTTCCGCCCTTTTGTCGCGTAACTAAACATCTTTCTTTTATATATAAAAGACCCCTGCGTTTTGTATCCTCCTACGTCTATATACTGTATTTCTAAAATAGAAACGAGAAACCTTTTATGACACTAGACGAGCACACACTCCGACGAAACAAAATGCTCTCTTTCTAATTTTCCTTATGTGCTAAAATCAGACGATCCCCTGTAGTATCGCTACATTAGAAGAGCACAGACGCTCCGATTATGTAATGACGAGTGTAATAAATGCTCTCTTTCTAATTTTCCTATTCGACGAACCCCTGTGGTATCACCACATTAGAAGAGCACAGACAGCTCTTCTACAGCTACGAATAACCGTAGTCGTACTCTTTCTATTCTGTATTAGAACGGTACACACCCCTTCTTTAACGTTCATCTGAGAGAGAAGGACTCAACTTTGGCTTCCAAAATTAGGGTGAAAAATATATAGCACGCAATAAAATTTTATCTATTCTCTTACGAAAATTCAGTATAACAGGACCACATTTTCACGGAGAGACCAGTTCTGAAATCCTCTTCATCGTATTACATCAAGCTCATTTTTGGTACCAGTCGACGTCTTCTAGTTCAAGTGCATAATTTTCTTATACGAAAGTTAAAGTCAAGTGACAAAACCCTCTACATTAAACGAGGATCTTTTCTTCTCATTATATTGGGCAATTATCCATTCTTCCTTTTATTTGGAAGAGACTCATTATGGGGAGTTTTATCACGCCTAATAGAACTCCGGACCTGCGGTTATACCTGGGCCCGTCAACCTTCCTGACGTCATAAACTCATGCTGGTACCAGCTTTTTTCCTGTGACAGCAGTGGTTCTTTTTTCTTTCAACACACCTACTACTGAATTTTAAGGTAAGTCTTTTATATTCTTACTCCTAAATTTTTCTAAACTTGTCGTATATTTGTAGTAACCCTTGCATTCCTTGTTGCAGTGGAAGGCTGACTTCCCCTTATTTCAAGAATGGTTGCTTCAGGATACTCTCTCTCTCTCTCTAAGATCAATTTTATAACTCTAAATGTTTGTCTAAATAAATTTGTAACCTTGTCATTAAAAATCACTATTCTCTTTCTTCCCTGTACCCTTAGCTCAGAGCCTTCTGCTCTGTAAATGAAACAGGAATTCACTGAATCACCGAGCGGCTATAAATAAAATAAAATATTATTTCGTTAGTTATTTCTCTATTTGAGACGTAACAAAAATATAAATTAACTTCTTCTTATTCCTAACACCGATTTTCCAATATCAACAACTGGTACTTCTGTTAATTTATATTTAAACATTTTATTAAGTTGAATTTTTGAATTAACATTATTTCAAATAAGCGTTCTTTGATTTTCGGATTAAAAATATTTTTTTACCAACAAATTTCTTTTCTCAATCTTCTCGACTGTGTCTGTAGATTGAGATGAAAAAAAATTCTTATCACTACTTTGAAATTTTTTTTTTTTTGACGTTTATTCTTTTATCACTTTTTCAGTACTGTGTCCTTAACCGTTGTTCTCCAGAACCGTTGCGAGCTAGAGAGATCAAAGATACTCAAAGTTAGAGAGGATTAAAAGGTAAATGTTTGTCATTAAATACAGGTTCTATTGAATCCTCTTTTTTTCTTAAATTGCTCCTTGAACGAACGACTTTCGATTCTCATCAAGATTGTTTTATAGTACGTCAAAGACGAGCGAATCATCTCTCTTGGTATATGTCAGAACGACCCAAATTGCATCGTTGCGTCTCTCTTTGTGCAAAAGCACGTTCACCACCAGCTGTTTCATCCTTCACTTCACGTTGTATTCCCTCTTTCTAGTTCCGCTCGTTCTCCTTCGTAAAGTTGAAACTGCAAACGAGAGATACTTGGTATCGGACATAGACCTTAAAGCTGTAGCACGAGCTCTTTCGTTTTCTCTCTTTCTCCCTTTCTTTACGGAAACGCCTAGT